ATAGACGCTCATGGTGACCTAAGTGTTTATTAAACGCAAGAAAAGGCATTTTGTGTACCACAGTATACTCAAAATGTACAGCTGTCGTGCATTTTCACATTATAATAACCTCCATCACATTATGAAAACCTTGTATATGTTTTGTTTCTTATCTCCATTAGGACCTGGGGCAGTATTTGATCCAAATCAGATCAGTGTTGACGCAACACACAAACTCCGCACAAACGATCAATCCTTACCTCGTCCTTCTGTCATGTCAGGTATGTTCCAATTGTTTATTGTTGTCTTTAAAAGGAATTTTATGTACAAAAGGTCAATACTGTCTAAACTTTTGGTGCCTATTTAACCTGGTTATAAAAATTTGAGAGTCGTCATCAGGTTTATCAGTACATTTTTTTCAGTTGATGGAAGGTCTTCACTATCTTCACACCAAGAACATTGTCCACGGAAACTTAAAGCCCTCCAACATCATGGTGGATGCCAACGGAACGATAAGATTGGCAGAGTTTGGACTCCAACAGGTATTGCATCAATTTGAAAGCTTTGAAATACAGGATGCTCCAAAAGTAAAGTACAAAACTCTATTAAATTGTTTTATGAGTAAAAAGAGCAGAAATCAAAAATATTTGCCATTTTGCACTTTATATAACAAAATTTTAAATTACAAACTATTAAAAATATCCCTACGAAACTTTGTATAATGTTCAAGGTAGGCCTAGTAATTAAATGATTAAAAACAATTGTCATTACAAATTATTTTTTTTTAAACAATATCCGTTTTAATTTTTTATTTTACTATAATTACTAAAAGCACAGCTGATTTGATGAAGATAGACAAGCAACACCTAGTTCAGAAAGATGTGTTAGCTACAGCTGAAAAATCATTGGCCAGTATTGTAAAAATATAAATCATGATAAAGGAAATCAAAACATAAACTTGTTTACAGGTTCTGTTTCAACAATGCAGCCCAAATTTCTCCTCTCAGATCTGGTGGGCCAGAGAATGCCAAACCATCTACTTCACTACATGGAAGGTAAGGAATGTGTTTAGAAAACAATCAATTGCTGTTTGCCAACATTGCAGGATTTGAAATATGTTTGACGGATCACCTAACGCAAACGCGGAGTTATTAAGCCAGTATGTAAAGATCCAACAACCAACCAGCAATCGAAAGTTTCAAGAATATTTCAGAATTAAACTAACCACTTAAAACATGTGTTATGTAGATGGCTGAATTAGATCGTTATTAGAGGGATGCGAGTCAATCCGACCAACCGGTTTCGTGTGACATTGTACGATCATAGACAAAAAGAATAAAATAGACCACCAGCCGTGCTGCGGTTACCATAGGTTCTGGCGCACACCGCTGGGAGCGCCATGTAGTTACGACGTACGTACTACGTACTACACGGCGCTCCCAGCGGTGTGCGCCAGAACCTATGGTAACCATGGTAACCGCAGAACGGCTGATAGTCTATATTTCTTTTTATCCATGGTCAATAAACAGATATGTCTCGGGACGTGTGTCCCAAGTCGCAACCAGTGTGTAAGATCAAGATGTGACTTGATAACATGGTGACATGCCTTGGACAAATAATGTCGTAGACATGACATGACCAGTGGGTAGCTAGCCAATGCCATCAGTAACTGAGAGATACATCCAATTTTTATCACACTGAAAGAGTTCTTTCAATTAGTATTTAATGTTAAACATTTACCTTCATTCTCAACCTCGGATTTTATGCTTGATTTAACTTTTAATATTGAAATTGTTAGTATCTTGGGCCCTATTCCACATATAACATTGCGGTTATCAACGGTTTTCACCCTTTGATTCACTTAACCGATGTGTGTTTTCAGTACATTTGCACGGAGCTTTCAGACATACAGACAGCTGGAATGCTTCTTCATTTCATCATGACGGTGGGGATCCACCCTTACGGCTGTACCGTGAAAGACATCATGGACAACATGAGAAACAACGTGATCCAAATCCGAACTGAGGACGTTGTCACTTCGGACCTTGTTTGCTGGATGTTGTGTTCGGAAGCGTACAAGAGACCATCGACTACGGATGTGCTCAGGTAAATATCCCATTCAGTTTAGATTCGGGCTCACCCTTTAATGGGTACATCAATGCCGTTTTCAAAGAAGGTAAAGGCTTTGGTAAAGTGATCCAAACGGCAAACACATACAATTTTTATGGATATACCTAAGATTTATCCTGCCCGTCTCACACCTAAGTCAGACAGGCTTTTCTGCTATTCCTTTTGAATTCCTGTTTCTCCTAATTTCTGTTTAATGTTTTATTATTATCCTGGTATCTTTGATAAGTTGTAACTGCATTTAATATTTTTCACAGACATGTGTTTTTCTGGGACACCAACAAGCGGTGGAATTTTCTCCGGACTTGTTGTGGAAAAGAGAGTGATTCTTCCACTTTCGATATCGTCCAGATGCACAAGGATTTAGACATACTCAGCGAACTGCGGGACATTCACAGTAAATGGGTGGGTGAATCTTGTAGTTTAGTTTGTATACAAAAGATATGACTAATAAGTTCACCAAACAACAAATGGTAAAGAGGGCTATTTAAAATGTAACCAAATAAATACAACATGCTTGTAGAATATTTGTCAAATTGAAAGCGGCGATTGTTAGAAAAAATCAGATAGACAAGATTTGTTAAAAATTCTTGTTGAACGAGACCGAAAAAATGTACCAGAACACAAAATAATGATTTAAAATACCTCAAAACACAGCCATACTTCTAAAAACAAAATTGATAACCAAATAAGATAAGAGAATTATTCAATCTTTAAAGATCGAAAGGATATTAAATAGGCTAAATATTATATTGTCAAAAGATTACTCACTTTTATTACCAGATAACCAAGGCGGTATTTGGCCTCACCAAAAATCGTCCTCAACGTCTTCTGGTCCTCTGAATCTTCTTCGCAAACTCTCTTCTTGATTATATCTTTATACATTTAGTCTTTCCTTCTCTTCTTAGAATGTCCAGGAGGTTTTTGCCACGCTTCACCAAAGACCCATCAGCTCTTATGATCAAACGTCCAATCACAATAAATATACACTGCACCGGTAACTGAAAATTGAAAATAAATCAGTGAGCAAGAATTTATACAAGATGAATCCTAGTTATATTGTTAAACAATCGCTAAATATTACAACACATCACACAAAGTTGACTACAACAGAAGCAATGGACTACTTTAACACAAACGTAGGCAAGAATTTAGGATTCTGATTAGCAACTTACTATAGTTTAATGTGTTGTTTCTGTTTCCAATGTGTCCACAGATCACGGTGCTGCAGCAATACGTCGAACTGAAGACCGGCTGCAATCAGTTTGCTGACACTCCAAGCGGTTTATTAAAGTTCCTCAAAGAAAATATTGACAATTTGTCGGAAGTCAAGGAACTCTTCTTGAAAGTGTTTGCCTATATGCCTCTCAATCTATACCGGTATGTAATCATTTATTAGGTCTGACTTTTTTCTTATTTTGATGGCTTACCTTCACATTCCAGAGGACGATAATCTCAAGCCAATTGTTTTACACATTACGAGGCTAGGCCTAGGAGGTATTGGCGTATAATCCATTAGTGATTGGTGGATTTGAACCAGGAAACTCATAGACCGAAGCCTCACACTTTATCACTAGACCAGCTTGCTCCCCAATTGATTGATGTTAGCACTACCGGTACTCATTATCAATATTCAATCCCGAAGTAGGTACATGCAGCGTCCCTGAAATAACTAACTAAAGAAAGGTTAAATGTTGCATGTTGGATCTGAAAATGGTTGCTTAATTTATGTTTAGTCTGCAGACAAGCTCTTTTATAAAAAAATAATCATCAATAAGCAATTATGATAATTTTTCTACATTTAACCTAGTTCAATGGATAACTTTCTATTTTTTTCAGAATGTTGGAACAGACAGACTGGATAAAACATCCTGTTCTCGAGCCGTTCACTAAAGTCGAACTTCTCTCAAAGCCGTAACGATTCATTATTGGTAACATTCAATCAAGTGCAAAAAGTTCACATTGAACAGCTCAATTCGCTATTGATTTCAAAATTCACAATGCACTTCATCTAAACACGGTGTAAATATACTTCCAATTGTGTAAATAAAAGTAAAATTGTTATAAATATGTTTCCTTGTGATTTTAGTAAGTAGTGTATTTTACTTAATGTGTGTGTTTTTTTGTCAATAGTCAAATTTGGTTTATTTTGAATAAACATTTGCATCAACCCAGCAAAGCTGGGTAACACGACAAAAATTTTTGAGGTTTACGATATATAAAAATAACCTAAAAACTACACTCCGTTCATAACATTTTTGTGGTTTGAGGGAGCTCAACACTCATCTTCGCTTAAAAAACGCAACCTTAAGTGACGGAGTCGTAAATATATCTCTGAATTTTGATTTTCAAGATTGAAACATTTTACAGGACAAACATTTGAAATCACACATAATATCAAATAAAAACCGTGTCCCAACCATGATCAATCTACAGCTTAATATACTTGTTACCAAAGGTTGTAGAAAAGTCAATTATGACTAATTTTAAAGCTGACATCTTTCAGTTTTGATTAGTATTGCTAAACAGTAAACAGCTGTTCCATTGTTGCTGACATGTTTGAACTTTAAAACATACAGATGCAATATGGAGTTGTAGTTGAGTTAAGCGCTGTGTATTGAATGGTTTATGGAGACAAAATCTGTGGTGTGGTTTTTTGTCTCGGGATTTGTAAAAGATCAAGTGTATCGCTGTCCGATCTCATAGATGAACTTAAAGCAAAGTTGAGGGAAGCCTTTGGTAAAATATATGATGAAATACGCCATAATTTGTTGTCACAGCTGGAACATAGATTTGACATTCTTCGAGCAAATAATGGAGAACATGTAGAGAAAAATTCAAACAGCTTGTACAATGTTTTAATAACACATTTACACAAATGATTTACAATAGTTATAAAGGAGCACCTGTAAAGCATTGTGTAATGAACTAATCATTTCAACAGAAAGTTAGCCGTCAAATAACAAATCTTAAGGCAAAACAAACATTCAGAATGTTTTTTACAGTTAAACTTACAATCACTTCGATAAAGAGTGATTTTGTCCAACTATTTAAAGTCAAATTGTGCAATAGAATTTCCGTCAAAGTATAGTTAAATGTGACAAGATTTTATTAAATTTACTGCAAGGCTGATCCAGGAAGCATTGGCTAGAAAATTAACGCTAATCAAGGTTTTAAAATTTTTTCCTATCTAATGATTTTACAAAGCTCTGTGCGTGTTATTAATTGTTAAAAAACAAAAATAAACATGTTTTTGTAGAAGAATTTATATTCTGTTTCTATACCATTATAAAGCGTTGTGGATTTTTTACTAACTATTCACGAAGGACAATATTTTTTTTAGAGCTGTTTTTAGTAGAGTATTTTTTTTTTATTTTGACTCTCTTAGAAAAAACTGCTGTGTACTGTATGCTTTTTTATATTTTAAATCTTTTACAAAGCGCTGTGCATGTGAATTGTAAATAACAGTAACAATACAAACCCTTTTTTTCTCAACCCTTTTTCACAGTACATAAGCAATTAACAGACTGAGTATTTTTTATAAGCTCAATGTAAAAAAACCTGAGATTCTTCAAAATAGTAAGATTCCAAATTAAAAGAAATTTGATTGTTAAACTGAATTGTGTCGAACAAGACTTTTAATTAAAATTTTTAGCATTTTATAATCTCTCAAGCATAGGAATTTAATAATCTTTTGCTGGATTTGAGAATACAACTTTTTTGACAGTTTTACTAGAAAATTACAGCAAGTATTTATTCAGTGGCATCTTTTAAACTTTTATCAACCATTTAATACTGCAAAATTTCCTTATATAAACAAGTTATAAATTCACTGGCCTATAAAATACATACGGTATTATATAATATATATCACAATCAACACAAAAATATACAAAATCTAATAATAATCAACCAGTAATAATTAAAAGTAAAAATTAAGACTTAAATGCTAGGACAGAAATATTGAATATTGTTCTATATTGCTGGATGTGACGTTGAAATAGTATTTGAAAATGTTATAATAAAGTAGTCACCAAAAATAGAATTCAAACCATGTAAAACATTACAAATAGAAATATTAACTGATATCATGCAAATGTTTCCTGATTATTGAGTCTATTTTACAAAGTTACGTCCACAAAATATTATGAATTGACAAAGTTTAGTGATGATTGTACATACAATGTTTGTGATAAAATTAGCTGTGGTCTAAAATTACTAAGTTAATTAATTGGTACAACAAACTATTAACTGGATAACTTTAAAACTGGGTGATAATGTTTGTAACTTGTTTGAAGAAAATTAATTTCTTACAAAAAATTTAGAAGTTATTTAGGTTAAGTTTGTGTAACCAACCTTAAAAGAAATTGTTTCCAGTATTAAAACAGAAATAAAAAAAAAATGTTTCTCCATTAATCAATAATTTACGTAGCTTTATTTTATTCAGAATTGGACGGAAATCGTCAGACTGATAAAATATGTATTAATATTTTGGACTTAAACCATTCTGGATTATGGATCAATGTAAATTAATGATAATGATTATGGTAGAATTGATAGAGTGCAGTACACAGATTTTATTATTTTTACATTATTTTTGTAACAAAAAAGTTCAATCATTAAAACACCATTCTTCAGTTTTTGTTTTTATATAAATTATTCAATAGGACAAGTACAACTAAATACCGTTAATTTAGGTATGAATGGTGTTTTAGAAACTTTAAGGACTAAAGATCATATTAAAACAGAAATAACATGTACTGTAATATCATTCATTTTGTAATACACTAGCAATTTTTGGAACGATCGTGTTTTGAGCTCATGTATGAAGAATTTGTTTAAATCTAGAGAAAATTGCAGACTGCTGGCAAATGTACTAAAACTGCTTACTGCCAATTGCAATCTCAGTTTATTCGATAGAGAGGGAATTTACAAACCTTCTATCAGTTTTGCATTAGACTAGACAGCCTATACTGTTTTTGACGTTTTCCAGTGTCAAAGACAAGGTTTAACAATAAGTTAAACAAATAAACGTGTAACAAAAGCACGGCTAACTAGAAGCCGAGGTCCTCATTAGATGTGCAAATTGTAATACATTTTTCAACCCAAGAAAGATAATTCCCATCACACCAATAGACTTGCGGTTTACTTTAAAATGCTAAGATATGATAGGATACTTACACGTTTGTTTTAAGTTTGTCCAACACATGGCTGAACTGGATGACATTTGTCTAGCACATCTTGGTTACAACTGACAGTAAGCAATTATAAAAGAGTGTAACCTTTGACTATCAATACAACTAGGCACTCCATCTTCATGAAGGTTGTCATCAATATTAAAATAAAAATTGAAGTGAATCACCAACAGATTGTGCTGAAGTCAAATACTTATTTCTGCAGATTTTTAAACCAAGTCAAACATAGGGTAACTTATTCTAAAGCTATATAATCTTTCATGTCACATCCTATATCTCAGCAACAAAAAATGAGGTAGAAAATTTATAACCAGTTTTTTATCCAACAACATAGGCCTATTTGAATAAGTGCCTCGTAGAGTGTACTTACAGAGTTATATTTTGTGCTTTAGTTTCTCGATACAACGATGTGAAAAAGCTATTGTTTGCAAAACTATTATCATTTGAGTCGATGTAAAAGGAAGAAATCAGTAGGTACCCTACATCAGCACAATCTGGCGGTAGCATGACTAAATTAAGCTTATTTTATTCTAAACCACAACTTAACCGTGAGAATAAATTTGACATATCGAGGTTGTGATCCCTAAGAATTTAGAAGCTAAAGTGACAGTGTCATACTTTTTTATAGGCATGTCTTTTAAAATTTGAGTATTTTAACAAAAGACAACAAAGCATAACATTTACATATCTTTGGCTTCCCCTCAACGACAATAAATTAACACACTCTCATTCGCACCTATGTACACTCAGTCTGCAAAGTTTTTTGGTGTTATCAAATAACAACTGCTCCGGCCTCGCTTCGACTCTCCGGTAGGGGCGGACAGTCCGTCCAGCTGTTTGAGAGGGGATCGTAGCATTCAACGTCCGCGATCGTGATCTGAGCTCGGTAGAAGTTCACCTCGTGAGTTTGATCTCCTGGAGAAAACAATGCAAGATATGTATTTATTTGTCAATAGAGAGGCGGAGGCGGTGTTTTAACGAAGACGTTTATTGGATATACACATTCTTTAATTGGATGTCAGATTTGACAATGAGTCGCTCAACCGGAAATTAGTAATCCTCTGAACAATCCAAAAGACCTTAAGACGCAGGATCTTTGGTAAATGGGCTCAAGTCCAGGGGCGTAACAGGTATTAGGTTTGTTAGGGGGTGCAAGAGGAAAAACCCCACACAAGGAAGGGAGGAGGAGCTCGATTGTCGGATCCATAGCGCACCACATGCAAACCTCGGGCCGGCTAAGGCATACAAGGTACATTTAACCTCTTTGCCCTAGACACCAGCAACTAGTTCTAGACACCATTTCAGTGTAACATTGGATGTTTCCTCTACGACTACTCTTATGTAACAAAGTCTCCACGGTGGCGTTAGTTACCTCCAATAACGTAGAGTAGACTATCCGCAGCCGCCACGGCAGGGCTTGCTCGGCCGACCTTCATTGGAGCAACCTCACACCACTTGTCCTAGAACAGTAAACATTGGCTATAGGCATTGGCTATTGGATACAGAAGTAGACATCCCATTTATACGGACTAGATGTCACCTATTTCTTAGTAAAAAAAAACATAGTAGCAAGTCACAAAATGGGCTAGTGTCTAAAATTCTATTTTCTACCTTATTTTTTTTTTTTTTTTGCTGACCAAGTTGTTGGTCATAGCTCATAACATTTGCTATAACTCAAAATAAGTCATTCTATCTGAATGGGTACTGAATTATAATGTATTGCTGGTCAATGTTATGAAGCAAAGATACACTCAAGCCAAAACCAGATGCAAGAAATCTCTTGTGAATTAAAGTAATATTATCAATCCAATAGAACCTATTAATAATATCAGCTGATTTAATTGGACGCAAACATGGAGAAAGTTTAAACTATACTCAACTTGCACCGGGTTCACAAATATTATCAATCAATCGGTCAAACCAACCAAAACGGCAAACAGACCTGTTCAAACGAATATCGTTCCACACTGTGCAACACTTCGTTCTGTTTGTTGGTTCCTCCGACGACGTAAAGATATCCATCTAACACAGCGACCCCCATCTGAGATCTGGGGACCAACATCGGCGCGAGATTCTGCCACTCTCCCGTCACTACGTTGAAACACAACAGGTCCTGGAACATGAAAGATAATTTAGCCTTTATCAAACCGCACAGTAATCAGTTGGTCACCATAATCTTTGTAGACTAGAATAGTAGCCTATGTTGTGTTACTACTCCGAAAAATATCAGTTTATGGTACTCGTATGAAATCCTGTGCGATGCTTGCCAAACCTGGGTACTATCATGTTTGTACTGTGAACTTCTTCTTGGCCTTTTGCCGTAATTATACTATAAAGCTACCAGAAGAGAAATAGATTATAGAATAGTTTCAAACCTTTTTCTAAATTCCATCTACAATCAGCATTAAGCTTAACCTAGTGCTAGGTGGTGGGAACAAGTCCGGAGGATATGGAAGAGATGATTGCTATTAGAGGAAGATTCAGAGGACCGAGAGAACTGGCGACAACGAGTTGGTGAAGCCAAGTACCAGCTTGGGTACAAGTGGCCATAGCAGTAAGTAAGTAAGTAAGGTTAATCTACTAAAGCCCCTCCCATTGAAAAAAACCTAAATTTTGTCAATTTCTTCTTTAATTGTAAGTTTTTTTTTTGGTAGATAAGATTTTAAAAAAGTTAAGTCTAGCCTTAGATGTTCACTTACTTGTAAATGTCTTCTACTGTGCGTACAGCCTCCTACAATATATATCAGTCCTGGAAGAAGAGAAATATATTAAATGTTAAATTTACCTTTTACAACTACTTCAGTTTTTTTTTTCATTACATAAAGCAATTAGTTTGTAAACTAAGAGAAATTTAATAATAATTTTGTGCTGTGAAAAACGTGAAACTTGTAAAAATTAAAAGAAAACCACCAATCATATTACAGTAGACCCCCTCTTAACCGACCCTAATGGGACCGGACCTACGTCGGATAACTCAAAAGGTCGGTTAAAACGGGCAATCAATAAAATCATAACATAATGAAATGCTATTCATTTGGAATTATATAATCAACATTTTGAAGTCATATTTGCATTAGTTATAAAATAAACCACTCTTATCTCCTTTTTCGTATTGATAGACAAGTCACAAATAAACACAAAACACGGTTAAATCTAATAGGCCTACTTTCAGTGGAATATATTATAATACTAGGCAACAGTCAATAACATTCCTATCTTAATAACTTTAGTACTGTAATGTATTAACTGAAGCTTTCTAAATCCATCATAATACAGTACAGAACCTTTTGTCGAAATTAAAGATACAAGCAATCATTTTGTTACAAGGGACAGGATGTTTATTTATAACCTCCCACTGTAGGCTCGAGCGAGGCACTAAAACTAGCTTGACCTTGGAGTTGTTAACCCCTCTTCCCTGCCCTCCCTACAAGTTGCGTTGTTTGTTTACTCCAGCAATAAGATAATCAGTTCTCAAAATCGTAACGCACTTTATGGCGTTTTAAATTTGCCGCACAGATAACATATCAGATCAAATGTGCTCAAGCTACGATAACGAACGATGATGACAAACTGACAATAGGCTATGCTATATTTTTTGTAATCAGCACAAAATAATTTATTCTTAGTCATATCCTGTGGAGATAAGCGTATGGTTCAGTTCTCATCGCCCAGCGTGGGAGCGGAAATGCAGAGATTCCTAGAAAGCGGCGGTTAAAACGAGCTGCTCTCAAAGCAAGGTCGGTTAAAACAAACTGTATTATTTCACGATCGAAGGCAGATAATCCGATTATCGGTTAATACGAGGTCGGTTAAGAGGGGCTCTACTGTAGTTCTCTTTCAGTATTCAATTCTACCAACCTTCGTAAGAGACGACTCCCATGCTGAATCTAGGTTCGGGCAGTTCACCGTGCAGCATCCACTCGTCCAGTGATGGATCATACCTACACAAAAACGGAACATCAGTCAAACAGTTTCACTGGAACAATCAGAAGAAATACCAATGGCTTTTTATATCATATGTATCAAAGTTATTTTTTCATTTCATATTAAAATGGACATTTGTTGGACTAGCTGTAGCTATATATATTTACTGTAATTTTAATAAGCCTAGCAGATAGAATTTACTAATATTTAAATTATACATTTTCTCTTATCGTTTATCATACTATGAAGGTTGATAGGGATGGGTCGTTATTTGTTACTGGTGTTAAGCAAAAAAACTAAAATTGAGAAAAGGACAGAAAATGTTAGTTTTGGTCCACAACCGATAAGATAACAAAAATCTAAGCGCTAGGTAATAAAACATATATTCATTCTATTAAAAGATAAGTAAGATTTTGTATCTTACCTGTGTTCTGATCGCTCGTCTTCCCAAAAACAAACCTGAATATTCATATCGTTAAATACGTTTTGTAAAATTTTAAATTAATATCTAATTCTAATTGTTCACTAACCTTTCGATTGAACCACCGATATCCTCGCCGACCCAACCTCCGACTGCGTAAAGTTCCCCTCCGAGAGCACACAGGCCAAACTCACATCTGGGCACCACCTAGTAACAGAACAGTGTCTTTGAATATACAAAATAATCAGGCCTACTTTCATGGTCAAAATTATAGTAAGTTACAAAAATCAAATTTTTATGGATACTCTGGTACATCCTAAGCAAAGTGAAATAAACTTATCTGGGAGATCAGGGATATCCGGGATCTATAGACATCCTTGAAAAGAGTTCAGTGTTACCTGAGAACATACAGATGGCCCAGACCAATTTTGACTAAGCTTTAGGAATAAACCTCACTGATATAGGGGTGTAAGAAAATAACACAACTAACCATGCTAGCGACTGGCGTCCACGAGTCTTCTGAAGGGTCGTAGACTTCTCCGTTGGCAAGTATCTGAGATTCTTGTTCTCCTCCCACCACGTAGATTCTACCGTTCAACGCTGCGACGCCGGGCAGAATACGACCAATCCCCATAGGAGCTGCCTGATACCACCTCCTGTGAACATTCTAGTGTCAAGAAGATCCAGACTTGGTTATCCTAAAATGTCTATTTCCCAATGTTCTGATTAATCACAGTGTCACTGTTGCTAGAAAAAAAATAACTAAATCCCTAGAATTGGCTTGGACCAAGAAAAAAACCCTAAAGCTGTTCCAATGTTTATTACAGACCACCCTCACCTTGTACTATTTATATCCTGTTGCTGAATTGAATAAACTATTTGAAACCGAATTTAAATTATGTCACTTAACATCCTTGTGATTTTGCGGAATCCAGCATTCACTTGTCAAAATAAAAGGGGTACTATAATGTCACACATTTATGGTACAATTATGTGTCAACCTTTGAATAGCCTATTGGATGAACGATTTAATCCCTAATGTTGTCCCCCGTTTTAGAATCAAAATGGCAGTAGTTGAATCGAGTCGCTAACAGATTGCCATAGCGTAAATCACTGATTTTTACTGACTAACTTTTTATTTCAGTTAAACTGAAAGGACAATTTATTGTAGGCCTAAGCTATAATATCTTTTATGTAACATCAACTATTTCAGAACAAAAACTAAGCGAGAGAGTAGAGTTTTGGACTCTAACGCACCGTGTGAGTGGCTTACTCAACAATGATCTTTTTCAATAAGAAAAAAATATTTCAACTGGTCCAAATAAATGTGAGATATATACTTCAGTATCCAATGATTCTGCGTACCCATTACTACAAGTCTTGGTGCACTGTGTAACGATGGAGTAACAAAGGCAAACAATCCTTACCTTCTAAACGTATCGAAGCGCTCGACAGACTCGAATGTGCACTCGCAAGATCGTGTCCAAGCACTCATAAGTTCTCTCTTAGACCCTCCGATGACAAAGATGTCCTTCTTGGCGCAAAGTCGAGGGAACACCGACAGCGGCACTAGGTTACCCTTGCGAGTCAACAGGTCGTTGTGGACACTACGCAGTGCAATCTGTGTGTTATAGAGGAAACTGTTAGTTATATTAGACCCTCCGATGACAAAGATATCTTAGTTGGTGCACAGTCTAGGGAACACGGACAGTTTCACTAGGTTACTCAATACGACAATTCAATGACAGACTTTAATACTTTACTGTAAAGTGTAAAGTAACAGCCTAAGTATAAGTTAATGCCAAAATCATCGATATCTGGCACAGGCTGCGAAGACCTTAGTAACTTAGCGACAAAGTTCAAACTATAGTCTTGTCAATAATTCTTGTGATCAAGGTTGTAATTCCGACGTTACCTTCAAGCTAGTATCCGTACACTCGGTGATGGTCTTCTCTAGAAGGCACACAGACAGCAGGGGCAACCTAACGTGTTTCAGCAGTTCGAAAATGTAGCGTTTACGTTGCGTAACATCGTGCGAGATCCACCTCAAAGCTGCTTGGAACACCTAGAAACAAAAGTTGAGGTAATTACTTACTCACAATTTTTTTCAGTGAAACTCTAAAAGAATCACATGTACTCTTGTCACTTCAGCTGCGGATTTTGACCTTAAACTGGTACATCTAAATTCTATTCCATAACTCATATAAATAGGTTACAAAGAAAGCATGATGACTAAACAAAGCTGGGTTCTGATTGGATATAGTGCTCGCCTGATAATCACAAGGTTTCTAATTAATTCCTGAGGAAAAGTAAAAATATTTTTAACAGCTGGCCTTGGCCATTGGGCTTTTAATAAATGATACCCTGTTCTGCATTTATTAAAGGTAGACCAGCTGATGTAACAGAGAGAGAGAGAGAGAGAGGGAGAGAGAGAGAGAGAGAGAAAGAGTCAATTGCATAGGCCTAAACGACTATCAGCACTTAGTCGGTAACAAAGCTCGTCCTTTAATCTCCATTCAACACAGATTGTACACTTATATTCGCCTTAAAATACAGACCCAATTGCGTTGGCATTGTAAAACTTGGATCTGATCTTAAGAAATAGCTCAAGAAGGCAACTAAGAAAAGTACCGTAATTAATAATAAAACTTATATTAATATTTTTTATCACAATGAAACGTATCAGCAAAGGATTTCCCACAAGAATTACGCGGCAAACTTATCGGTCAGACAACCAACGTAGTAAACAGCTAGTAACTAAAATAAATAAAGGAATACCTGGTATTCACTGTCCACCCTAAGCAATTCACTGGAAAGGAAAAACACCAGCTGATCCTTAGGCAAGTCTAGGAACTCCTCCTCCAGACAGATGTGTGGAAAGTGGTTCTGTATGTAGTCTAAAGCTGTGGCTCGCATATCACCACAGTTGTGCGCGTCTGCAAACCTGAAACAACAAGTTGTGAATGATAAATACCCCTGCCGCAGCATGCCTAATTAGCGTATTCCCAATTATCTGATTGAATATTCACTTGAATAACTCCAGGACAGATTCATTCTCAATTAAATAGCATTCAATTAAACAAATACTTGGGTTTGCTGCTTAAGGGAAGGTCAGCAATTCAAAATACAAAATATTTGCTCTTAAGCTCTACAAAATGGTTTAGAAAGAAATTACAAAATTCTTTGTTTTGGGGATAAAAATGCGAAACCCCAATTTTTACCCCATAAAACGCTCACATACCCATAGATCATGCTGGTTGCCGAACTCATTGGAATAAACGTCGATTTACATGTTCATACCAAATGTCATAAAAATACCTCGATTCATACTCCCTCCGTAGGGTATAAGGAAAAAACGTTAACTGTAACATTAGAAAATTTGACTTGGAGCATTACCAAAGAATAAAGTAGGTACCGGTAACAAAAAGTTTATTTTATTCCCAATTCATTTTTTCATACAAATAGCCTAACTATTTTTTGCATTAAAATAAAATGGAAAAAAATATAAAGGGGTGAGGAAACCATGCATAAAAACATACAACAAACCTAATAGTGTAATTTAATAAGCAATAAGGCAATTTGGCAGTGGTTTATTAAAATTCTCAGTAAAATTGAACTGCTTTTGTTTGAAAAATGCATACAAACTGCTTGCAAGTACGGTAACTAAAACCATTGGAAAGTTGCAATCACATGCAATAAATAAACTAATAATAGCCTTGAGTAAGAAAGAAATCTGATCTATTACTAGATAAGGCTTCATGTTAACAGTATTGAGAGGGGAAGTGTAATTTAAGAATTATTGATTAGTATTTGGTTGCATTGCGAACAATAGAACACTTGCTGTTTCCTATTAGTCTTTAAGCAGCTGATAATATTTTAACACGGATGTTGATGGATATTTTTTTATTTACCACAAACTTTGACATTGATTTGTATTTCCTGTTTAGGCTAGTTGATTTAACTTCATATCAGAACATGAAAATAATTTCAAAAAATGTGCTATCTTAGATATAAAAAAAATGGTTATTTTATGTTTCCCAACACCTTTAGAACCGCACTGTTCTGTTTTATCTCTTCAGGAAGCCTATTATAGAAGAGAGGGGTCCAAAAGTATTCACATTCATGTCAGAGTGTGTCAGACGATGATGTTTAGTTGAATATCTAATCTATGACATTGATTGACCAACCGTTGGAATATCATTCAGATGAATCGCTGCTGACGTTATTGCTCATTGAGGGCATTGATATCAAATTTTGGACCTGGAAAATTCTTCTATCAACAGAGTGTTGGTAAACTGGATACGCAGAGCCCTTTTTCGGACAAAAAGACACTCTTTTAATGCCATATGTCATAACAGAGAAAAAAACCATAGGCCTAATAAACCATGACTTACGTTTTTTGATCAAGAAGAGGAGGGTAAGGGTAAATAAATATTGAAAACAAATCGTTAGGTTCACCTGTAAATTCCAATAGCGTTTGTGTGGTGAAGTTCTTGCTTTAGGAACTCTGTACAACCCAGCACCACCTCGTTAAGTTCCAACATGTCAGCTGCTACTATCAAGTCTTGAACGTTATCTTGGTTTATGGTTATCTCTCCTGTAACATTTAAAGATCATTTGTCGGTAAAGAAGTCTTTATGATAGGGTTTTTAAGGATTTTATTATGAATAGGTAGGGTATAATAGTAGGCGCACCTAAATGATAAAAATATATGAAAAAGTATGAATAAAGATCGGCTAAAGAACGACTCTACAACTGAATAAGTAGTGACGAAAATTATATGTGTTCATTTGAGAATTTCATCTCTTTTTGACAGTAAGGTAGGAAGGAAACATACAATGGTATACTCAAAGTGTCGTCCACTAGCCTTTGCTTTTTATCTAGGGCCAAGTCCAACACTGGGCTCGGGCTCTTCCTTGATCGTCACAAGATACGGAGCTGAAAGCGTACAGTTATCCCATTTAAGCAATTTTCCTCCGTAAACAAAACGCTCCAACATAGCAGTTCCTTGTTGTTTTCTTCAAACTTGGCTGACGTTGCAGCACAGGCATAGGCTTAGCTTTCATCCGTTTTTGTTAAGTTCTGGCTCATACAGTTGTGGGTAAAGATTTTTTGTCTTATCATTTATCAATAAATTGACATGGGGACGCCCTCTGGACCGTGTATTTTAACCCAAATATGAGTGAAGGATGAGTGTAGAGTGGTGTGAGATGTTCTGTATAGCTTTTGACTGAGCTGTTTCAAGTCAGAACCATTTATTTAAAGCTTAATGATCAGGGACAGCTGGGTCCAGTTTCGAACCATCATAAAGCTAGAACTTATTCTCAGGATCGAACCAGAGACCTTTTGATTGTTAGGCGAGCACTATAACCACTCAGCTACCAGCCAGTCAAGCTATTACTAATTACAAGGTATAGTGACCTTTAAAGCTCAAATTGTAAAATAGTTTGTGTATGCACATAAATTGTGTAATTTATGATTTGAATACTATCTACAAACCTGTGTAAATAAAATCCACTAATAAATTAAGTATATGAGGAGGAATAGAGTGCAGTTCTATAGTTTCTTTTTGTTCTTCAACCAAACCATTTGAGAACATTGCTTGGAAATAAGGACTGCTTGCAGACAGTATAGCTCGATGGACCTGAAAATACAGTAAAATATTTCAATTTAACTATCAATTATTCGTGAATATCACAAAAGCCTTAAATTTGACTAGAATCAACTGTAATAACTAAGTTCAACAGCTAGTTTCACAAAGGCTTGAAAAAAACCATCTAGGCTATTAACTTACTTACCGGTATAAAATATCACAAAGTTACAGATTGAGCGATGTACGTGAATTTGTCATCATCACGTGAATTCATTATATTAGGCCTACTCATAATTATATCATTAGGTTGAAACATTTATCGAATGTCTGGTTTCAGTGATGGCCATGTACAACAGGACCTTATCACTTTAAAATAACTTTTAGACACAAGAAGTAGAACTATATTCTCTACTTTTACCAAACAAGTTAAAGGCTGCACTTTAGTTCACGTCCTACACAAATTGGAATGAATACTTATATCGATCGATAAGGATTATTTCATTTGATGTATCAAGTTTAGTTAGTTAGGTTGAAACCTAACCTAACTAACGGAATGAAATAATTGGTATATCGAATTATCTATATATCGATATTTTTCATTCGAATGAGTGTAGGACGTAAACTAAAGTGCAGCCAAGTTAAACAATCAAAATTTGTTCCTGATTTCTGTGAGGTCTTAAAATTTGACAGTAGGTAGGTAGGCCCTACTTTGATTGGTAATTATTTACCGTACTTACACCTAACCTAACTAAACGATATATCGAATGAAACAATCGAATAGGCCCTAATCGATATTTTCATTCGAATGAGTGTAGGACCTAAAGTAAAGTGCAGCCCATTATTATCTAAAGAACATCTTATTTAATCTAGATTTATACTTACTTTCATCACATTTCCACCAGCAACAATAGAAACATCACAAAATCTACTGTTTTGTCGAAGGTTATTAAGATTTTGAAGAACTTTTACAGGAAAATATCGATTGGAATAAACTTTGTCTACAGATGAACCATCTTTACTTTTTGATAATGTATACCATTGAGCAGGAGAGGGTGAGGTTGATTTGACTGATGTTCCAGATACATTGTTATTATTTGCATTTTCTTTTAGTGGAGGCATAGTTCTAGGTAAGCCAAGAATAGCTAGGTCTAGGCTGAACAGATGTTAAGAGTTAGGCTAATTTCAAAAACAAAAAATACACTGACAGTTAAGTTTATGTTGTTGATTAAGGAAAAAATAAACTGAGAGTTTCTTAAACTTTGGCAGAAATTATCAAAACAATAATTTTTTGTGAGGGAAAAGCCTGTGTTGTTGAATACACAAATCACCACACCTTTGGCAATAATATTTCAATGCAACCATCAACACACAAGTATGACATTGACACCATTAAATATTTATAATTGTTGAAATATTACACCTATAAACTATACGCAAAGAAGTAGTTATTTCATATAACAAAAATACTATTCACTGCCCATTCCTCTCTATCTACCAACACCAGCCATCAACTAAGTTCAACAAAACAAAATCAACATTCAACTTGACATAACATTTTTATTCACTAAACACTACAGACTACAGAGTGCAGTGCAGGTGCAGACTAAAGAAAGACTACAGTAGCAGAACTAGAAACAGACGATCAGTGAGGCAGTGCAAAGGCAAAGGCAAAAGAGTAAAAACAGATGTCGAATTTGACCATTGAATTTCCTTTATAGGAAGGAATGTTTTCAGTAGTTGAGCAGTTGCAAGCACTGTAGTCACAGAGAAGTAATATAAATTTATATTACTTCTCTGTGCTGTAGTTTCTTCATGCATCCAGAGTTTTTTTAGTCAATGTTATGTCTTACATGGTTATTATTTCTTGGCAAGTTTAATTATACGACGGTGTTTTCTGTGTCAATGTCCTGTCAATGGTCATGATAGTCTCGAGAATATATTGCCTATTTTATTTTACAGTGTATTCAGAAATTGCAAAAATACTAAATCAATGTATTGTATACATTGATCAAGTTTTTACTGCACAGATGCCAAAAGAACTTTTGACAAGCAACTCTGCATACTGAAATAAATTGCACGCGTTAGGATCAGACTAAGGTGAACAGTAATTTAATTTATTTTGAATCTCCATGTGAATTTCCCATATAGGGAATAAGCTTTTACCGTAGGTCTTATGGTAAGACCGCGGCCGCCTTTAACTCCAGGCCGCGGCCTTCGAAGTGGCCGAAACGGCACACGGAAGATTTCTCAGGTGCCGTTTGACGTCACTAACTGCTGACGTCACTTTGAGGGAACACTATTACCGCAACGATACGGCATTGAGCCATCGGCCTCTGTGGTGTAGTGGCTAGCGTGGCGGGCTGACAATCCGAATGTACCGGGTTTGAATCCCTCTGGCAGCACTAACTTTTTGTCAACATTTTTTTTTCATATCAGCAAGTTTGGTTGGTTTGGTTAGGTTATGACCGTTTAATTTTATAATTAAAAATTAAATTAAAAATTATAAAATTGAATTTTAGGCATTTATAATTTTATTTTATGAACAAAACTATTTTTTAGATTAGTAAACCTTCATTCGATTTTTTCATTATCAGCACGTTTGGTTAGGTTATGACAGTTTAATTTAATAATAGAAAAATTATAAAATTGTCTGTTTCTTCAGACGCAGCAGTTAGTGACGTCAAACGGCACCTGAGAAATCTTCCGTGTGCCCCACCGCGAAGTGGCAACGTCGCAAGTAGGGTTGTAACAGCTGTTTTGTTTGGGAGCAGCTGTTTATTGTATTTGTATATTTTTACGAAAGCTTGGTTACTGCACTATGGAAATATTGATTTCGCTTTAAATGTAAAGATGTAGATTTTCAATTCATATCATTGTTTTGGTTTCAATTCTGTATGTTTTATTTTCAATAGTTTAATAAATTTATATTTAAATCAATAAAGTGCGAATTAGTGACCTGCTGTCACCTGTCTGCCATGCCCATGTTATCTTATGGGACGTCTGACACTAAACAACCCTACTTCGACGTTACCAATCTACCAGGCTGCGGCCTGGAATTGAAAGTGGCCGTGCCTGGACCCGGGACTGATTTACTTTTTCGTTTTGATGTCCCCAGAGGCCTGGGAAAATTATGAGTGGCTAAAAGGGTTCGATTTCAAAATGAGCTTTAACCATTATCAACATGTGTCAGATACTGTTAGATACTGTTCATAACGTTTTACTAATTTATATTTTACTTAATTTGTCGGCCTTAGTCATTAACAAGACTACAAGATCGCGCCACTCATCCTACACTCATCTCCATTCATACTTGGCTTAAAATACCTACCTTGTATGGTTGTCATTTCATCGAAAAGTGTTGAAGTGTTTAAGTACTGAACTTGGTTATTTTTTTATATAAATACAGAAAGAATTCCAATTACGCCAATAGCTTGTCTATTTGATCATTATCAAATGATAAAATATCAGCAGATCTGAACATATATAAGAGAGTATGTTTATTCAATGATTTAATTAAAGTACGTTAAAAAATATTACAGCCACAATAAAATATATACAACCTGTAATTTATCGATTTCCGTTGGCTTGTTTCTAGCAAAGTTCAATACTCTCAGCTCTGAAATGCACGCTTTCTATTGGTCGAAATTTTCAAATTTCTGGGTTATTTCCATCCTCTCCTCTCTCATCTGTTTTGTGTTCTACACTTGCTGGATTGGTCAAACGAAGGCGAAGAAAATTCTGCCCTCCATTATCGACCATTATTATTCTTTCAATTATATTTTATTTATGAAGTTATCTCTATACATTTGTTATTAATATAAGTTTTTCAGTTTTAGCTAATTTAAAATCAGAGAAGTGTGGAATATGAGCTCGGTAAGTTTAATAATTTTGATTACTTTTTGTTAGGTATGCTTTTACAGTTGGAGCCATAGACGTTTTGTTTGCGTCCAAAATGCTATGCTACGAGACTAACAACGACTTAGCTTACGTGGGGCCCAACATCTTTATTTATACTTTTTACAATAGATTTGTTGTAGTTTTGACTCCTATTTAAATACTGTTTTCTCTCAGGTATATCCTATAATCTGGTTAAGTTTCTTTTATAATCCATCTATAGTAGGCCCATAGGTTAAAAGGAACTACTTTTTCTAAAAGTATAGTATTATTGATGTTTAATAATTTAAAATACAAAGTAGCATACTAAAACAATATTTCTACGAGACAGAACTAGGACTATCTTAAGTGCTTATTTAATTTAGTAAAATTTCTTTCTTGACCCTAATCATCTCGGGTCTGCTTAGTTAAGTAATGAGCTAAATTTAACATGGTGAGTGCTGGAAACCTTTAACACGTTCACTGCGGGCCATCAAATGGCAGGCGTAGCCCCAGTGCGGCGCAGCCCGCAGCGTCGAACAAACCCGATTGCCGGGTGATTGGCTCTCATATTTCGGTATGACGAATAGCAAATAACATGCGGTGATGTCCTGTTTTATAACAAGAGTCGACGTAGTTCGCTAAACACTCACAGATAGCAGCACTGCTTGGAACGTAGCCGGTCCCATCGTATTGCCAATTGGAGGGAGAAAGACGGGACAACAAGTTGATTTTCAAGTTTGCCAGACGGGGATTTTATGGGGAAATTTTACTACCAACCTACAACACAACAAAAAGCAAGTCACCCACTACACGCTAACGTGGAATAGGTCTGACTTCGACCGACGCTAGAGCAAAAACGATTATATACGAAAGGCATTGCCGAGCGTATCCGATCGGTTACGGCAGCACCTGAACAGCGCTCGGCCCGTATCCGTTCGGATACGCCCGCAGTGAACATGTTAAACAGGCGTTCACCAATGGCAGCGAAGCCCAAGCTTATCCCACGGTGTACCACCGAATCAGTTAACCCAATTGGCATTCAAATATTTCAGTGTGAGGAATCACAAAAGTGCAGTGGTGATTGTGCTGTTTTATCCTGAGAGTGGACGTAGTTCACTGAAACATCCATCCGAAGGGAGCAGCACTGCCTGGGTCCGTAGCCAGTGTCATTGTAATGTGGCTCGCAGCACAAAAGTATTGCCAGACGGGATTTTACACGAAATTTTAGCATCAAACTACACTAAAAAGCTCACATTCTAAGCTAACTTATTCATATTTAGAGTTGTTTTGTCTCTGGATCACATTACAAACTATAAAAAGGTATAAAAGTACCTGAGTACTGCCAGAATGATCCTGTTTGTTCCTTACGGATAACGCGTTTCGAAGACTAAGTTAAGTCTTCATCATCAGATCTTGTACAAGAACATTAAAACACTGTCACTTCGAAAAGGTCGTCAAGAGTTTACATACAAAACACGGAAACATATTATGTACAAACGTGGATGTTTTACGAATAAAAACGAGTAGGCCCGTCGACGAAAACTTACAATGTCCGACCGCACAGTAACAGGTGAAGGTCATGACTGTGATGCGGGAGACAGTCGGGCGGTGGACTTTGTACCTCTCAGCTCCTTATTCATCAGCTGTACTTGGTTTGTTATAAGAGTGTCATACAGAGCGTTGGACTGGAAACTGATTTTGCCATTTAATAAAGTGTTGGGTTGATCAACCAAAATTCAACCCAACACTTTATGCAAATCACAGTATTCCTGATCCTAGTCAGTGTGTGACTGTTATTAACCTAGACTTTTGTTTAGTCTATTGTGGTTTTCTTACTCATTTCATCCTTCTCCATTTCATCCTTCTCCATTTCATAAATTAAGGCTTTTAAAATTAGCTTTTAAAAGTTTGTTGCAATCCCTGTTTGTTTAATCTATAGAGACAATTACATTTGCTAGGTAAGTCAACGTTACCTACTTAGAGAAAACAGGGAACTCAATGTTATGGTATATAAGTTACATACGGTAGTTCTAAATCCTATAAGTTAATGATCCATGTTTATGCTTCCTAGTGACGCCAACCCATAGGCAGGTAGGCTACAGTAAATTCCATTAGGCCCATGTACAAAATAAGTTAGGTACCTACGGTAAATGTTACAAGCGAGCTGTACAACTTCACTACAGTCCACTTACCTACACACGTAAGCACCTGTTCGTCTAGCGCTGTACGGATGTTAACTGCTATTGATTTATTTTTAGTTTAAATAACTTTGAGCACACAGTCCTAACTTAAGTACGTTCAAACCAAAATTAGAGTTTACAAATCCTTGAACTAAGTAGAGTTTCTGACTTTCATATGTTAATTTACTATATAGTCCTAGTTTTGTCAGTGTAGGCCTATAGGCCTACAAATTTCATTTTGAACTATTTTTTCAGATGTCTAATGTGGAGAATTTATCTCCCCAATGCATAAGACAAGTAGTTAAAGAGCTACAAGATTTAGTCAAAACTCCACCAGAAGGCATAAAAGTTAATTTGAATGAACAGGACATTACTGACATCCAAGCGTTTATTGAAGGCCCAGGTAAGTACTTAAACCTTAGAGTTATTTGGTTCGAAAAAATAATAAGCACCTTAATCGTTGATCTTGCTTCGGAAGATT